ACGTGAAGTATTGTTTTCAGGCTGCTGCCACAGGCAGCTGGTTCGCACTAGGCGAGAAAGAGAGAAATGCACACTAGTGAATGTGCGGAGTGATCAAACGACACAAGGACCCTTGAGATACTCCATCCCAATTCCCCCCAACAAGGGCCAGTGCCTGCATGGGTGCCACACCGTAGATGACACCGAGGCAGGGCCTGGGTCTCGCAGCGAGGGGCAGCCCACTGGGGAGGCTGAATTCCAGAGCAGCTCTGCTGTGAAAATATTTCCTGTGAGAGCTTGCGAGCCCAAGAAACCAGGAGTAGCAGCAGCTCTCTAGCAGGGATGGATTTCATTTGTCTAGCACATCCATTTCAAGAGCAAGCCTCTAAATGGACGTCTTGTCATTGAGGATTGATGATGAGACAGTGCACCTCAGCTGCAGCAAACAGGCAAAGAACAGGCAAAGCTCATCTACCCCGAGCTTTTCCCTGGTTGGCAGAACATAATCCCACCTGGATTCCTCCTGCATTTTCTTCTTTTCTTTTTTTGATCCCATACATTGTAATATAGACATAAGAAGTAAAACTGATGAAAAAAAAACATTGCAAAGCTTTTAGAATTCACTGAATGTCATCAAATGTCATTGTCTCGTCCTTGAAAGTTCAGATTCAAATTCAGCTCCTTGTCCCTAACTTTCTATTTTTAACAGAGAGACCACAACTCATTGTTTCCAGAGCAGGGCTTTGGAAAATATTTTTGAAAAAGGAAAATCCCCACTGATTGCATTTGCTAATGAGGCTTAAAACTAATATCTGGACAAACAGCTTGCACAAAAAAAGCCTCCAAGCCAAAAAGGGCTTAAAGCTAGGCAAGGGAAGACAATAGTTCAAGACTAATTTAGTGTCTTCTGTGATCTCCAGTATTTAGGTTTTATAAAAAGAAAAATGGAGGGATGCATTCTGGACCTAAAGTCAGTCACGAGCCTGCACATATGTACCTTCTACCTGATGAGTCAGCAGGCCTGGCTGACACTTGTGTAAGAATGAGGAAGAATTTGCCTGCAGGTCTCTGTGCTCCAACCATTTGCTTTACCCATTGCTGTGCTGTATTATCCATCCTTGCGAGTTTAGAATTTCACTGTGCTCGAAGAGTGTTTGAATACAAGAGGGCACACTGCTTGATGGCCTGTAGGGTCATCTCTAATGGCAGACACTGCTCTTAACAGCCTGTGCACAGAATACTTCATCTTCAGAAAAGTCAGTTCTGAGGGTTGCGGAGAAATTTTTATATTTAATTTTATTTGTCTTTATAATGGAGCAGGTTGCAACAAAGACCAAGTGTCTGCAAGCAAGAACATTTCTCAGACCTATTTGCCATGTTAAAGCCCAGACCTCCTGGTTCTGCAGCCAGTGTCTAACCCATGAGCCCACACCGCCTACCCCTCTGCCAAGAGGCTGGACCTCTCACTGTCCCGCTTACCAGGACTAAAAATTGTGGCTAACAGGAGTGGTCTGCACCCTCCTAGTGCTGTTTCACCTGTAGACTTCAAAGCATTTCTTAAAGTGGATAAAAAAGCATTAAAAGCATTACTTACTCATTTCTACTGTTGAGCTAAGTATAGAAATTTGAAGCAGTGCTTACACTAGGTGTACCGTGGCTGGATTTCACCAGATGGGGTTTATGTTTCAAGCTTGTTGTGGCACATTACTTAAAGTCTGAGCTCACAGAACCTGATATGGAGAAAAAAGGGGTAAAACTTCCAGTTGCTTCCTCGTGGTTATGGTGTGCAGTTACTGAAATGCTTGATAACTGCAGGCACTATCAGCTTGCTGCAGTGAGAGAGGAATAGTAAGGGCCAGTTCTGTACCCAGCAGTGGTAAGTTCCCTCCCTATGGCAGAAAGATGTTTCTGAGCCTGAGTTTGCCCCATTTCCTTCTGGAATCCCTTCAACCCCACTTGGCCTCCACACAAGGGGAGGGACTGGCCCCTGCATTGCAGGGATCAGGCAAGCACCTAGGTCTGGATGGGAGAGGGAGAAGGCTGAGAGGGAACGAGAGTGAGATATTCAGCTGGAGCTGGGAGATGTCTTACTTCAAACATGCTACCTCATTTTCTGGACGTAAATATTTTCCCTCTGCCATGTATTTTCTCCCAGGTTCAATGACAAAGCCCAGTGCTGTGCTTTCAAACAGTACCAGTCTCTGGAGCACTTGGCTGTCCCTGCTTTGCTTCTTGCCTGAGCCAGAATAAGGGTCTACCTAGCATTCAGAGGAAGCGTAATGAGAGAGTTTCATTACACAGATACAGGGTTCAAAAAAATGCCAGGCACAATAGGAGACAATCAAAAAATGATCCTTTTAATGTGTTTTAAGATAGAAAATATCTTTCTTCATTTAAAATGTCAGTTCTTACTTTTCAATAAGACTTTTGCTCTATGCATTTCCAAGGACAAGAGCTTATCTCACATCATATATTGAGTTATAACATGGCATGAAATCAACCTTTAAATGGATCTTGACTTAAATATTTTAACTTATTCCTTGCTCCGTAATCCTAACAATATGATTCTCCATTTGGAACTACAGACTTTCTTTTTTTTCCATGTTATTTGTATGAGATGTGTCTGGGATGCATGAAAGGAGGCAGAAATTGTGAAAATGGTTAAGAGCGTATTTTATTTTATACTTAATACTTCTGGAGTTAAAGGGGAGATGGAAATTGCCCATGTAATGGATCTTAGCTATGGAGAATAACCATCTTCTGGTAAAAAGTATTGTCTGTCTCAAGGGCTCACACACACAGTTTGACCTCAGAGTAGTTGCCCATAATGTTTTCTCTGTCGAGAGAATCCATTCATAATGATGTGTCACAGGTGCTCACACATAATATGTTTCCTGCCAAAACTGATCATCCATATTTTATATAGCAGCTTTGATGACAAATATTTTGTACTTCAGCTGCTTTTTCTTCACTCTGTCAGGCTTAATGAAGGAAAGTCACAGATAGTTTTTAAATAATGTCAACTTCTTAGATCCCATTACTGTGTCTGCCTTTGAAAGTAGCCTCATACAAGAGCCACAACACAGGTGAGAGAAAGACAAGGACATTTTAACTTACTTGACTTTAAAAAGAAAGCCAAATTTTCAGGCTCTTAATTTCAAAATCAATATATCTTTGGAATCTTCTCAGAAAAAAAAATATTGAGCACTCAATACTTTGAGTCTAGTGAAAGCAAGTCTGAATTGAGGTTGCAGCTTCTCACCATGCAGAATGATGCTTGTTCTCATATTAGTGGTGTGTCTTGGTGGTAAAAACACTTTCCTCCAGGTTGTTCTACAAAGTGAGTGCCTTGGGGGGCACAGAGAATTGGGTTCTTATATTCTCATTGTAATTGTTTGTGCACAGCAGGGCCAAAGTTTGCTCTTCTCTGTGTTCAGCCCCGCTGAGAGAAATAACCCTCATTCCTCATCGTATTAATGAAAGAGGAAAAGTTAACTTGAACTCCCTTTGAGTTTTCTCAGACTGTGGGGCTGGTCATTGAAACCTCAGAGCATACAGGAGTGCTTTTCCCATTCATGGCCCATGCCTTTTCTGCCCAAAACTGTAAGTGAACAAAGTACAGAGGTATTCCTGAACTTCTCTGACACCAGTCAAACTCCCCTGAGCTAGCAGAGAGTGGTGGCTTTCAACCTGTAAGCCATGGATTCATACATGCTCCTGGTCTGCAGCCAAGGGATCCACAGAAGGGAGCTGACAAAAGCAAGTTCATTGTGTATGCAAGCTATTTAGCAGTGTCTGCAGATAAAAATAAAATCAAAACACTAAAATAGGCAATCAAAGTACGGTACATGCATATTTACAAAATTATCACCAGCCTGAGGAGAAGGCAAAACATGAAGCTAGTAGTATTTACAAATGAGATTTACAAATGTAAATGAGGACTGGATTTCTCTCACACATGAAATACAGCCTGATGTCTCAGGCTGAGAGAGAAAAGCTTACACTTAGAAAAATGCCTGTGTTTTTCATACAAGAAGAGGTCAAAAAAGAGGGGATACAAGGTCTGGAGCTATTTGATGCTTAATTATTTTTTAGATCCTACTCCTATTTAGGAATGCAATCAAGAAGGAATTAAAAGTAGGTAAGAACTTCTAAAGTGTTGGAAGATGTAACATTATTCTGTACCACTGCGAAGTAATTAACTGATTCATGTCTGCTACTGAAATTATAGTCTGCAATAACATCCTCTTTTCTGCTACTCCCAAGCCCCCAAATAAGAACTGAATAGTCTTAACTAGTGAGTGTAATAAGTTTTCCTTTTGTTGTCTGAAGAATTAGAACAATTCAATTGAAAGCCAAACATAATCCTACCTATGCTCCATGCTGGGACTGGAGCAGGGCAAATGCCACAGTTAAGTCTGAACATCAGGTTGTAATTGTTAGAGATTAAAAACATGCCAGAGAGAACATTCCAGGGTGAGAAGGATGGCTCTCCCGTGTATTTTTAGTAAGGCAAATTAGCATCAGATCTTACAAGGGCATATTCCCGCACAGCAGAACTCCATCAAATGGCATTTAGTCAATGAAGGAAATTATACACTCAGGGTTTTTTTAATCATCCAGCTAGGAAAAGCAAAGATAAGTGACCATGTATTTATCTGCTGAGCCAAATGCATACAAGGCATAAAAGCCACTGAAAATAACTAAAAGAAAAATAACTGTTCTCTAGGTTGCTGCTGTGCCATAAAATCTATTTAAAATATAATTGGCTATTAGCTCTTTCTGCAAGATGTGAGCACATCAGCTGGGCTTCTCATTTTTATGCAGATGAAATAATGAAATGAACTGTCAAGTCATAAGAAACAAAAGAAAAAAATGAAACCATTTTTAAGAGCTGCAAAAAGGAGGATGGTCTACCCTTGGAAGTACAGAGGAACTGTTATTTCATGGTCCTGTCTAATTTCCTCTTCTCTCACTTTTTCACTTTTTTTTTTTTTTTTTTTAAATGTTTGTCTCCTCAGTGCATCCTAACGTGAGCCAGGGTTGCCAAGGAGGGTGCGCTACATGTTCTGACTACAATGGATGCCTGTCATGTAAGCCCAGGCTCTTTTTTGTTCTGGAGAGGATCGGCATGAAACAGATCGGAGTATGTCTTTCCTCATGTCCAAGCGGATACTATGGGACACGGTATCCCGACATTAATAAGTGTGCAAGTAAGTGCTGGGGAAAGGGTAAGTGCATGGGTTTGTTTGTTCTCTCTCAAATGCTGTGTCCCCTTAGGATTCAAGTCAATAGAGAAGCAGACGGAGAGGCTGTGTCTTTTATTTCTTGATTTCTTTTATAATAGTGCAATAAATACTAACCATTGCAACAAGTTAAGGTGAAAAATCACAAAACAGCCTAAAGCTCAGGGACCCCTACTCTGCATGAACGACCTGCCTAGGACCTGGGTGACAGTCTCCTGCTCTACACCCCCATGGGAAAGGGCTGGCACTGCCCTCGGGCAGCAAGAGGGAGCATGGCAGCTCTGAAGAGCAGTGTCCAGAGGGATGCTGGATCTCACAGTTTGAAGCCATTTAACCCCTGAAAGAAGGAGAGAAGATTGCAGGTGGCACTCTTTGGAGGTGTGGCTTACCCTGGTCTCTTTATATCTCGTCTCACACTCGGTATAGTCCGTTAAATGCCTGTAGCAGCTGGCCAGGTTTCAGCTGGCCAGGTTTCAGCCTGATTTGGGGGAAGTTACTGATTCATGTTGCCTCTGGGCTGGGAGACAGAGTACCCAACTCTATTCTTTACTGCTCAGGCAATATTTTGACCCCATCATGTATTTTGAATCATAAATGAACTGGAAAAGATTGCAATGTCCTCCCTACTCCTTTTTATATTGTTGAATTCACTGCTTTTAATCCCACAGGTGATATAAAAACATGAGTGATGGCCAAGCAGCTCTCCCAGTTTTTGCCTAGAAATAAAAGCTATTTAATGAATGGACCCCAGAGTAAAGTCTTACAGAGTAACTTGACACTGTAAAGTATTTGCTCACTTTCTAGCAGTGTGTGGCCTTGCACATCAGACATAAGCTGTGTCATACACAAGTTTTTATGTATTTCTTTTAAAAATATCTCAGAACTGTGAAATACACCACTAATGCCAGTTTGGGTAGTCATGTAGCGAATACATGAAATACTACAGGACATCTGATTGAACATCAGCGAGTCTTTTAAAAAAATTAAAAAATTTTGATGCGAAAAAGTCTTAAGTAGATAATAAATTGTGGCGTAATTTATTTCTCCTGGATGAACGGAGACAGATAGTGCAGAAGAGCAGAAGCAGTATGCTGTGATTCTGATGTGCTGTGCTCCGTCTTCAGTCTTCATACATCTGCAAGAAGACAAGCAGTGTGAGGCTGTCCAGCATCAGGCAGGCTGTCCTTATTAAAACCTCACTCACGCCAAAGTCACTTGTGGCTGGACTCAGTGTGTGCACAGGCCATGAAGAAGATATAAATTTAACATGGTCCCTTTGAAGACTGTTTAACATTGCTAGAACCATGTGATTCCGGTATATACGAGAGAGGCCATAGGTGTTCCATGGCAAAGAGCAACAACATTGTTGTTTACTATTTGCATTTCAGAATGTAAAGCTGACTGTGATACCTGCTTCACAAGAAACTTCTGCACAAAGTGTAAAAGTGGGTTTTACTTATACAGTGGGAAGTGCCTTGAAAAGTGCCCCGATGGGCTGGAAGCCAACAATCACACAATGGAGTGCACTAGCATCGGTAAGTCCAGTCACCCTCGCATCCTGCCAGGTTTTCTCACAGGGGATGAGAAATCTGAGGAGGGCACGAGTTGCAAGATCAGTTATAACACCAGGGAAGTGCAGCTTAAGATGGAAATGTTCTGCATCACAAGATATATTCTTGAGCACAACAAATTCAAGGTATTTCCCAAGTCTGCCATTTCACAAGAGGCACAAGCTTGCTTGTGCTCCATGAACACAGCCTTGATGCTAAGGGCAACTCTGCCTCAGGAAATACAGCCTGTTTGGTCTGCCCTGGGGCAGAATGACATCCATCTCCTACTTGCTCTGTTACGATGTTATGCAGCACTGCTAACATCAAAAGTTAAAAAATCCTGGGCCAGGCCCCATGTCTAGTTGAAAGACTAAAATACTAACTGCTTTGCTTTAGCTCCCTTGTACTACCTGAGCCTTCAAAGCATGCGTGCACCAACATTTGGAAACTTACATTCAGAAAGGTGAGGGCTAGAAACTAAAACATTAAGGAAAAAAAACCCACAAAAAAACCCCAAATCCCAAAATGATATATGTACATAATCACCTGACTCCAGAAACTGAGGATTAAAATGAAACACCAAATAGTGTGGCACTGTCACTGAGGGAATGAGGTTGGTGACACCGGTCCTGTGACTCACTGGCTGTGGAGAAGAGACCTGCTTTTGTATCTCTCTAGCCTCTGACTCAGAAGCTCCGATTATTCACACCAGGGCAATTTTGGAGGTCACCACACCTAACTCTCTGCTCCATCCCTCTGCCACCCCTCCAGCTGAAAGCAGAACAAGTGATTTATTTGCCTCTGGGCTGCTGCAGTTGGCATCCCCCGCCATGGTCATGCCAAAGCTGCAGCAAGGTTCAACTTACTTTAGTACACTGGCCGTGAATTGCGGTGGCTGAGGGCTACGAACTGTGGTGGGAGCAGTAACCTCTTCAGCCACCAGCAACCAGGGAGCACTTAGGTGCAGTCTGGCCGTGATGGAAATCTCCTCCCCCACAGTATCATGCACATTGCTCTCCCTGGCATCGAGTATTTTGGAGGAGAAACAATGCAGGAATAAAAATAATGTACAGTAGTTTGGCATTTTCCTTCCCAAATATATATTAGTTCAGGTGGTAGTGATGGTTTTTACAGTTTTATTTTCAAGCAAAGACTTTCATCTTTGAACGAAATTCAAGGGATCATTTTTGTTTCTTGATGGCTGTTTCCAAGTGCTGTAGACTTAGCTGCTTTAACAATGAGTCAGTCTCAACTAGGAAAAGCCATTTAAAGCTACGGAGGAAAAACAGAACCTTTTTGTGCACGTGAAGGCCAATTATTTTAATAGGAGAACTCCAGTGTAATATGAAAAACAAAATGACCCACATGACAATTCACTGGAGAAAGTCTCAGAGATTGCCTGAGGTCAGTTATATTTTTAGGTTTTGTAAAATTTGGAAGTAAATTCTGGAGCTGGAAAAATGTTGACTTACAAAATCCTCCTTATAGAGGGGCTGGAAGTCTTTCTTCAGTGGTGGTATATAGTCTTAAACATGCATGTGAACATAAAGTAAATATAAATGTTCATTATCTTTTATCAAGAGAAGGATATTGAAGACATGGTATAAAAAAAAGATAGTTATTAAGAGCACATTGTTAAGCTTCCTAGGTTACTCCCATTTTTGTCTACATTGTTTGGACAAGTGTCCAGCTGCATGCTTTTTGAGTTTCCAATAGTATGGGATGCACATTCAGATCACTGTGGTTTAGAAACTGTAACCTGCACTGTTCTGAAGAGTTTGCACTCCCCCAACCAAAATTGTCCCCTGCTTTGCATACTTACAGCTTGTATATGCTACAGATGATGGCTCTTTCACTATTTAAGCTGAATACCAAGCAGCAGATTACCAAAGACACCTGATTCTTAATGTAATGCCTTTTGACATCAGTTCATCCTTTATAACTCTATTGATTTCCAAATTCAATACATTTGAATTTGCTGCCACAGCAGCTTGACCCAGTGACTTCATTCTACTTTCACACAGGCATGACCAAAGTTTAATGCCACTGAAGCTACAAGTATTTAAACCTCCACAAAACCAAAGCAACTTCAGAACAAGCCCCGGTAACTGATTTCATTGAAACCAATTGTGGTATTGTTGCCCTGTTTCAGGAATGGAATTACAAAACAGCGAGTACTAAACAGTAACTGATATAATTATTTGACATTATTTTGTGCAGTATATCCTCAGCAGTCCAATTTCTGTCAATTCACTGCTGCAAATCCTGACTAATTCCATCAATTTTTTCCACCTCTTGGCTGATGCAGAATAAAATTAATGTACTATATGCATTGTGTATACAAAAAGATACTGGCTAGGCTCAGCTTATCCTATGTTTATTGCAGTGCACTGTGAAGCTAGTGAGTGGAGTCCGTGGAGCCCTTGCACAAAGAAAGGAAAAACATGTGGTTTCAAAAGAGGAAATGAAGTAAGGGTCAGAGAGATCGTACAGCACCCGTCAGCAAGGGGTAATCCTTGCCCAGCTACAAGCGAGAGCAGAAAATGTATTGTACAAAGAAAGAGATGTCAGAAGGAAGGAAAAGGTACCACGTTATCATCATCATAATATGAGATTGGTATTGTGCTTGTTTAATAACTCACGTCTGAATTCCCAGGCCTCGGTTGCAGGCTTCGCCAAAGGTCCCATTGATGTGGTGTTTTTTGGTCTGGAGAAAACTGTGCCCTTGCCTGGCGTAAATAAAGTCCTAACGCTGCTCAAGAAATGCGCTTTGTGTGATCTAGAGAGGACAGGGTGGGCTGGATGGGAAGGCACATTCTCTCTCAGTTCTGCTGAAAGAGCTGCCAAGATGAGAGGTTGCATGCGGAGCTCAAAACAGAAAGATCCATCACAAAACATGTCATGGTGGGAGTTGTTTGCTGGGCATCAGGCAGCCAAGTTTCACACTTCAACCACGGGATTCCTCCAAACCGATTCCTATTTCATGCTTCCCAAAGGTAAGACCATAACTGTTGCAATTGCAGTGCTATGGCCTCTCTCCCACCCTGAACTCTTTCTGCTAGCTCTGGCTGAACAACGTGGCCTCATCCTGCCCTCCACATCTGGCTCATGGAGTCCCAGCATGGGAGAAAGGCCACAACACTGCTTGGCAGCCAAGGGAAACTCCACTTATTTCACCCAATAAGCAAGAGTGCCAGCAGAACTGCCCTTCCATGCGAGCCAGCTTTTTGGACTTATTCCCTATCACAGCACCTAGTGATTGGCATCCCACGTGTTGAAAACTGGAGATGCTTAAGAAGTCTATGAAATAATAATTTATACAAATTCCACCCAGGAGAGATTGTTGTTCCCTCATTCCCTTTTCTCCCTTTCTTACAGCGGGGAAGTTACTTGTTCTGTCCCTGGTGCAGTTACTCTGGTTGGCACAGGGGTGTCAATGGACTATTTCCTTTTCTCCATCCCTCCCCTTTTCCCCATCCTTCCCATTTCCCTAGCCCTTCTATTTCCCCCTCCTCCCCCCCCCAACTCAAAAAGCAATGTTTCACCCCTTTTGAGGATGAGTGGAACAGGTGGAGCAGCTGCCCTCTGTGTGAACACCTGTGAGCCAGCAGGAGCTACTGGTACCAAGTAGTAGCTTACTCTTTCATTGGTAAATGATTGCTAGGGTTGCTGCAGATTGCTTACAGAAATATTGAAGGGGTTTGGAGACTGTAATCATTTTGAAGGTTGGCTTGTTCCCTAGGAATATACCTCACGAGAAGGGAAATAACATCAGAAGTAAGATCTTATGAACCAGACAGCTACAGGTGCCTCCCCCTCACCCAAGAACTGGCTAGATCTACTGATTTATGGGAACTTGTGGGGTAGATGCCACCTCCTCCTCCTCCTTGTGTCAGGCAGTGCCTTGAAGAGGTAGAGAGGTGTATCCGTCTCAGGAGAGCAGACAAGGCAAGCTATTTACAGATTCCCTTATGCTTAGAATCTATGTTCAAAATGTCCATGCTTGCTTCTGTTCCTGCACAGTGGCACAACTTGAAGTATAGCCTCTCCTTAGCCCACTGTAACTGGGGGAAGAGTCTTTTTTTATCTACCAAAGCTAATTTTGCCAGAGCCGAAAATATAGGACTGAACTGGAATTTGGAACTGTGAAACTGTTTTTTGGGGGGGTGATAATGATGTTACGTATTTGTTTATGGCAATTTGGCAATGTCTTCAGAAGGGACAAGACATTTCTCTTTGAGAAATGCCTGCTGTTCCTGTGTAGTAAGTACTTAAGAAGAAACTACTCAAGCATTTTACTGTCAATTCTTATTTTATGGGATCCGAGCCAAACCATACTTGAAAAATACTGTGCACCACAAGAATTTGTTCACAATCATGAATCTTTTTCTTTCTTTTTTTTCTGCAATGTGCATAACCATGTGGATTTTTTCTTCCTTTTGAGAAAGTCACAGACTATATTCTAGCCTGTTTTACACTCAGTAGACAATTCCTTTGAAAACAATGCAGGCAGATGTTCCAACCAATGCAGAACCTATGTTCCAACTCTACCTGTGCCCTTAGGATTTGTATATCTATGTCTGAAAGCCATTTTTTTCTAATGTGCTGAAATCCACCACTGTATACTCCTCGGTATCCACAAAAGTCTGTCCCATTCACTTTCATACACCTTCACAGGGAGATTAATTTAAAGATTTTTTAAAAAAGATAATTCTTAATAAAACTGAGGAAATTCACACACAAAACATTAGGTTAAAAGAGCTTTAAGGGATGGATTATGGTGACAAGCCAGGAAACTGAGAATTAAGCTAAGAGTTTTCCTTATGGTCCTACTGGAATGGGGAAATTAAGCTTTTCAACTTAATCTCCAGGCAACTTATCTTCCCTGCTGCCACTGTCCCTTATTACACAGAGCGAAATTTCTGTTCCCTTTTGAACAACAGAATAATTGCACAAGAAACCAAGACAGGCTCTGTTCTTACAGAGCTGTGCCCAGTCAGTGAGTGTAGAAGGAGATAACAACAAAAACACTTTGGGAAAGGAAAGAGAATGTAAATATGTTTGTATTTACTGTTCAGAAATATTGAAAACACTTTTTTGTATTGTACAACTCCCCATTGCTACTCAGGCATTACTCTGGAGTTTAGATTTCACGGCATCAGCTTTTGAATTCTAGCAGCAGACCCAGCAGTTGCTAACAGTGCTGCTAATCTTTTATCCGCGGCCATGAAGAGAGGGTTAGCTCAGTCAGCCTCTGCCATTTCCATGTTAAATAGATATCTGTGGCCAAGGGAGCTAGGGCAAAGAGCACATGATGACAGGGTATGCTCGTCACAGATGCCTCAACGACTTTGCTCAAGAAGTTGAGGTCAGAGACAGGATGTTAGTCAGTTAAGTTGCTGCTATCACACAGAAGCAAGGACATGTTTCTGGAATGGCAACACAAAACAAGATAAAACAGATGAAGAAGAGATTTTTTTTAATTTCCATCTGCTGGTGTGTCATTAAAGCTGGTGAGATCTATTACAACTCTTTCTTTTCCCCTCACTGTTTATAAAATGAAGGGAGAAGGTGCTAGTATTTTCAGAATGAATGCAAGCAAATGGAAAGAATGAGGATACAAATAGCCCAACTAGCCTAAAAGGTTCTTCTAATTAATTTTAGCACTAAATTACTTGATCCCAGAGTGTTCTGACGTGGTAATTCCCATGTGTTTCATATACAGGCTCCTTTTATAGTTCAGTCCCATCCAAACATCACTGCAATTTACTTCATAATTCTCCTCTTTTAATCCCATGATGGTGACTTCTTTATAGTCTGCATGACTATAGGATTTTAAGTTCCAGTTTATTCTTTCTAAAAAAACTTTCTGTTTTGTTCCCCCAGTGCAGTGCACTGTTACTTTTACCATCCCACACTTACATCTTTTGGGCACCTTTCACTGATAGGCATATGTTGAGAGTCATGTGTTTCCTGTAGCCATGTCCATTAACGGCAAATGGAAAAGCATAACTTGCAGAGCTCTTCAAAAACTGCAAATTATCCATCAATATTATTTCTCTGTCTTAACAAATGTGCTCTGGCCAAACAAAAGTCCCTTTGGAATTCTGTCTGCAAATGTGTGAGATTGACTTTTACTGGCCAAAAGACAAATATCAGAATTGCATACAAAAGTATTTGTGGGGAAGGAACTGCATGTTTTCATGCATGAGTAATTCTGCCAAGAAGAGAACATTCACCATATGACTTTCTGTTGAGTCCCAAATAAACCCCACAGAGAGCAGACAGTTTTAAGTGCTTTCAGAGAACATGTTCTGATCAGTTTGAAGAGACTAAAAACACTCACCAAAAGACTAAGTGAACAAGGAGGACATCTTAGAAAGTTGGGAATTATGCAAGCCAATAGTTAGGTTACACTGGCCACACTGTTGTATTGTTGTACACAAATAAAGAATATATTTCAATTGTTCCTTGTTCATACCTTGATTCATTTGCATGCTGGTGGCATTCACATGTTCAAAGGAGAGAACCAGTGTTAACTGCATCTGGTTGTGTGCAAACACAGACCAAAGAAAGTTTCTGTTCCCGACAGGCAAAAATTCAAGCATTAGACATGACGACATGGTGGGATAAATGTAGAATAGCATATTTCTTTTTCACTGTGGAGTGTAGGAATTGTCACCTTGTAGAGTCTGAAAGCAGGATACTGTTATGAAAGGAAGAGGAGCAGTTCACAAGTCAAAATTCACAAGACTGCAATCCCCTGGAGGCAAGGTAGCTTCTCAGCTAACAGTTTGTGCTGTAAGAAGAATACAGATATTATGTTGTGATTTTTTTTAATGTACAACACGAGTAAGAGAGAAAGCAGTGCTTTTGAGATGAAGAGCTGAATTATAGATGCAGACTGGTGAACAGAAGGGAACCAAAGGAACAGTATATGCTGTTGAGCAGTTTTAATATGCTTAGTGCATACATTTTGGGGAAATAAAGTAAAATATACACTTCTATCCTGCACTGTATACATGTGAATATAAAAATCCAGGTTTGATTTGAATAGCTTAGAGACCTCAGGTAATCTGTGTTTCTTCTTTGAACTAGTTCCTCCAGCCCTTATTGCTATATGTCTGCATAATTCTTCACATACATTAACCAGATCATGTCTGAAAATGTCTTCAGCTGGCTACGGTATGAGGAAGGAATCCTATCAGGCATCCATGAGATTTCCAAACCCATCACTCAGCTGAAAAATTCCAAGCCATTAATCAAGAATTTACTTTAGCTGAAAACAATGTAACAATACTAACAAACTTAAAATATTAGGAAATAAACTAATTTCACTCACTTAACTTAAACTCATTGAGTTACCCACCCTAATGTACATGCTCTGATGCCATATAGATCCATTTGAAATCTGTGGGACTTTCACCACTTCTTTGTATCGGTTTTGAATTGTGGCACATAAAATCAGGGTTTCATGATCTTCACAACCCATAGAAACTCCTTTATAAGTATGTGCCACATCAATGTGTTTATTCATGTGGTAATACCCATTTTTCCCCCAAAATTCTGCACTGCCAGGCCTCT